GGAGCATTCGCGCTTTTATTCTCAATTATTTCATTTATGCCATAGCTAGACATCTTGGTTATTGATTCCGTCTGATCTTGAATTTATGTACCAGGATATTAGAGTATTTGTTTCCCTTCTGCTTATTTATCTTTGTGGTTTTTGTGTTATAAACGACACTAATTGCAAAGTTGAAGTCCTATAACCTATTTAGTGTGCACATTTTGTAGTTCTGTTGCACAACAAAATACATTATCTATTTTGAAACAGGCATTTTAATATTTGGTTAGTTTTCCCTTGGTACGGGAACTCTTAAGATTTGTCATTTTGGCATAATTCATATTACTGTTTTTACCCCACCACTAGCATAAAGTGGATCAAAGGTATCACGTCCGATGCAGAGAGTGAGAGAGAGAGAGAGATTAGACCCATACAGTGTCGAAGGAAGGCGATTAGTCAACACAGTTGTGAATTTCACTGTGAGAATGAGGCTGAGATCACAAGATGAAACTGACCCAGGAAACAGAAGTAACAATGAAACTAAAACTGCTTTTAATCACTGTGATAATGCATGAATATACATGGGTGTTGAGTATTACTGTTGTAAGATAATCTGTTTCATATCAGTGTCTCCTTATTCAGTCCAGTTGAGTCAAAGAAGCTTTAATCATGTATGTTGTAATCGGTACAATAAGTTGCGTCCGAATAAGGTATACTTTCTTAAGTATAACCTACATTGTGACTGAAAAACTATCCTTTGACAAATAAAGCTTCGTATGATATCTCAATATTGAGTTCTAAATGCTGCCACGGTGATTCTCAAAGTTTAAATGAGTTAGATGGGGATTCAGAACGTCCCATCAATCAGTTACCTTTCATCTGTACTTGGTACTTAAAAGGTGTCCTCAATTGTTTTACTAGGTTGTGTGTGAAAGAGAATATGCAGATCCACCTTTGTGATGCGTATGAAGAGCAGCAATGAAATTCACTCTTATTGAGGACCAATGCTGAATGTGAAAGTGACGTAAATACCATTGACTTATAATGAATTTTATATTGATGCTTCAAATAGTTAGTTGAAATTTCTCATGTTTTGTAAGTCATCTCAGTAAAGAAATGTAGTTACTAGGTTTACTGTGAACATTCTGTCGCCATAACTTCTCTCATCGTTTGTATAACGATATCTGTTCAGTCATAAAGGAAACTTAATTGGATGACTGCCTTGTTTCGCAGTATTTGTAAAGTTTTTATGAATTGCTATAGTGCTTTTAGAAAATGATGTTTATCTGAACAATGGTATATTTGGGCAATACATTTCGAACAATCTGATCACATTTACTTGTCAAGTCAATTTATTTTGAGACTGAAGAGTGGGAGGACAAATACACCAATAAGGATTAAAATTAAGAAAGATGAGAAAAAAGGGATGTGACATAGATTATCCTAATCATGATAAACTTTGTTTACTTACCAAAATTGACGAATAAGTTTTCCTTTACTGGCACTGGATAAGCATGATTTTCTGGAGGATCATTTAAACCGGTGAAAAAAATACGCACATAAACGGATAGAACCATTCACCTTGCGGACAATCACTATTGGAGCAGCCATGAAGAATGCGTCTATAGAATTCTTCCTTCTTCTCTTGATCCACATTATTTGTAGATTCATAGCAGTGAACTATTGTGACTTTCCTTCCTTTCGATTTGAATCTTGGTGTCATGATCCTGATGCTGGAGGAGATTGGTTCCCACTGCATAAGAGAGAGCCTTCGATGCTGTTGTGGACATCATGATAGCCACTCGAAAACTCAGTGTGTTCGTGTTTGTCATCTGGGTAACAATATCGGAGTAGGTTATTGACTCTCCAGTTAAGAGTTTGTAGATTCCACTTCCATTCCATCTGCTTTTACAGATTCCTAGTACTTCCATGCCATATCTTCGCATCTTCTTCACAATCTGGGCAGCCTTGGTAGGTTCATACATGGTGCGGACTTTCCACATCCCCATCATTGCTTTCTCTTTCACCGAGAGAAGAGAAGACACATCGGCCAATTGACTTCCTGAAGGCTTCCACCAACCGGCGTCATGTCGTCTGCTCGATTCCTGTGAGGAATAAGTTTGCTTATTTTTTGTTTCTTTTGTGCTTTGAAATTTCTCAAGTGATTGAATTGGTTTCCCGGGGGTAGGGTTGCTAGCCCTATGCCCAACTTCCTTCTTTACTCGGGCTTGGGACCGGCTAGTAACTGTTGAACTAGTTTCCAGTCGAGGTTTAATCACATATTGCTGAAATTCAATTCGCTCAGTCTATTCCTGGGTTTTTTCTCTTGAAATTTTTATTGTGATAGTGAAAATCTACTATGAACCGGTCATATAACTACATTCTATTTCTTTTTCCACTTTACACAAGAGTCTGTGAAAACTGACATAGCATTTTAGTAACTACATATTATAGGCTTTTGGTTCATCTGGCTTCTTTATTCCTCAAATGCTGACATATTTCCCGTTTTTAGCTTCTCATTTTATATTTTGTTGAATAGGTTTTTGGCTACCATATCCAAAATTGATATTTGTACTAGTGTTGGTATATTACTAGCTTACTTATTCTTTACACAGACTTCATTTAAAAAAGCATATGTTCTTTAGCATTTCAAAGTTTGGTCGAATACGTATGCCAATATTTTCCAGGATGACAGCTCACAGTGAATTGACAAAGGAGGATTATAGGCTGGCATTGACCACCATTTGAGTAGATGTTTTTCATAGGCTTCAGTAGCTAGTGCTAAGAAAAACACAAAAACCGAGTTCAAATATTTCGACGGACTGACTTCAGAAAGAAAACTGTTTGTTCTCTGAACATAGTAAAAATTTAGCTCTTCACGCCGCCCCCTAAAGTTTACTGATAAATTTAGACCAAACTGAATTACTCTGTAATGACCTATCAACGTATGTAATCTAGTCCTACAGGAGGTTAACCGCTGTCCGAACACTTCACTGGTAACGTCTCTGACTAAAGCACTGAGTGACGCTGGTTTCAATCTCAGGCTAGACACCAGTTCCATTGAGGTCACAGATACACCTTGCTGACGAGTGCTAACAGGCGGTGAACCTAGGTCAGGCAGGGCTTCTTGCCATCCACCTCCATCCAACTGACTAATCCCGATGCGATAAGGTGAGGGGTTTGTAAAAGGGTAAACTGCGTCAACTCTTTTTTAGTCCGTTTATTAGATGTGTCACAGTGAAACAGTATTATTTAATAGATAAGGTTTTGGTTACACATCATCATCCGTATTCATATCAGTCAGGTCCAAAACTTTGAGACATGGTTAACATGGTTCTAATTCTCTCTCCTTCATCGTAACGTTGGTAGTAGAATTTTTATATATCCTGAATAGCTGCTGAGTCGTTTTTACTGCATGTACTTGGCGTCGATTTGATAAACTAGGTTTCCGGTATCCATGTTTTCCTCCACTCAACTAAATTCTTAATGCTGTCGCTCCGTCCTATCCTTTGTGTGATCGCGTATAATCGCATGAATAGCTGAAGGTAAGCTTTTCTCTAGGTAATTTTTGCTATTAGAATCTACCAATCGTGATTCAAACAGCCTAGTAGATCCTGGTTGTTCACCTTGACCGATAAAAGTTCTACTAACTGAATGACAAAGAAGGAGACAATTAGAACTATAAAACTTATGTCTCAGAAACATGGAGTTACTTGATAGGAATATAGACAATGAATTGATTCCGAAATGTTATCCAGTAAATGATACTGTTTCACTGTGACACATCCAATATACAAATTAAAAAGGGATTACAATCTAGCAAGCTGCCAAGATTTACTCCTGCACTAAGAAACTTTGTCAACATATTGTAAAAGCAAGCACCTGCAGTTTGATCCGCAACTGAATTCATTATGGAAATGAAAGCCACTGTAATTTTCAAAGATGACAACCATCACATTTCAAGCGATAGATTTAGATAAAATCATTTCATCATCAGAATAATTAACTTCATGGTTGTCAACTCTACATAAGTGTTCTCATTCTGTTTGTGGGTTCAACAAGTTATGATTACTTTTATGCCTTCTTTGAATCTAAAACCAAATACAAGCAACAACATAAAAAGTGTACTTATTGCACAAGAAGTGGCTGTCATGACTCGGTGGCCTGGTGCATAACAGACTGGCATTTAGAGCGGTCGGTCCCTCGCTTGCTGGGAAGCAGCTATGTTCAGCTGATGAGTCTCAAACAGGACGAGATATCCATCCTGGATTTCACTATCCATCATCATCTTACTCTTTTCTCACATCACCTTAGAAATTTGGTCTTTTCTGAAAGCTTAAGAAGACCGTCCTTTCCTGAACAGCAAAATGGAAATACTATTTGATCATTAGCCTTCTGAAAAATTAATGCTTCTAATATTAAAGTTAGTAAATTTGTTGTAAACAAATAGTTGACAAACTACTGAGTGCAAGCTGCGAAATGCATAGTCGAAAATATTACAAAGCTTCAGTAATTGTCTCGTATCCTATTTCTCGATAAACAAAAATATTTTCTCAAGTTTCGGTAGTGAATAGGGGAGTGTATTTCATGATGTTCAGGTTCATTTCCTCAGTGGGAACATTACTTTCTGTTCCATGGATCACATGACATCATAACTCGGTTTCAAAGTTTTACAGACATTCTAGTTTACTCCAAGTTAGGCCAGAATATCGATTTTTGGTAGGTGTTCTTCACGTTATTAACGTTTTCCTAATTACATTTCACATAACGATGTGATAAAATCATCCAGCTTATACTATAAAAGTCAATAATTTAGCTGAAAGCTATTTTGAGATAATTGTGAGTATCACTCAGATGTCGTCTAGAGCATCTATGATAATATTTTTCTAACCTGAACTTATGAAATTACATTTAAATTTTGTAAATGATGAAATGTAAGCAATACTCACTTATGATTATTGATTTAGTGAAGGTAATAAATTTAGCATTTTTACAAGTAGCTTTTATTAATTTCGGTCTGAATGTGCTGGATGCGGATATTCTTCGCTCTCATCGTTTTGTTTTCTATAGATGTCAGTACAGCTGATCGTCGACCAAACAAATACCAAGATCCAGAAGTGGTAGCCATGAATTTACAATCTGGTGTTCAGAAATATTATATGCCTGATAGCGATTCCTATAGTGGCCACAAAGTAATGCGTCGTGTCAGAAGGCGAACACATAAGCGTGCAAGTTATTTTGCTGCACCTCTTGATTTTCCACGGAATATAAAACGATATGAAAGCAATGAAAATGATGATATTTCTGATACGCCGATGTATCTTCAGCAACCTATGGATAAAGTTTATCGTGTATTATCACAGAGTCTTTCTAAGCCTCATTTGTCATCAGATAACGAAGAACTTTTACACATTTTGCTAGAACTTATCAAGCTTTTCAATAAAAGGCCTGTTCGTAAAATAAAACCAGTTGCTTCAGTCGACCATATTATAATTACACCGCCAGCTGTTCACGCAACAACTGCTACTTCATTTCAACCATCTAGTGTCAATAATCAGTTTTGTAAGAATCAACAAGTAATAGCTTCTGTTCAGTCCACATCACAAGATTTTCCATCCCCCTCGGCTACATCTTTACCTACTACTACTGGTGCTGCGGAATTGCCATCTCGTACGCTACAGTCTTTTAATTCTGTTGATTCTTCAGCACCAACAGGCAGCGATACTAGTTTCGGTACACTTACGTCTGGTTTACCAGATATTTCTGCGATACCTACTCAGCAGCCGTTTCCTTCTGCCCGTTTACTAGTGCATCACTTCAACCTCACAACAGGCTTGTCGCAAACTCCGTGACTCAACCAGACATCGAATCTCGTTCTGGAATGCTAGATAATCCGATAACTCCTCAACTGCCGTTTCCTGCAACTCCGTTTACCGCTCCATCCCTTCAGTCTCAAAGTAAGCTTGTCGAAAACCCTCTGCCTCAACCAGAAATTAAATCTGCCATGTCTAACCAACAACCTGGAATTACTTCACCAGTAATGACTGGGATAAAGCCACTGGTGCCTTCCAGTCAGATTAGCTTTGGAGCACAAGGAAACCTTATTTATACAGTTTATGGACCCAGTGACAAATACCTCGAAACACTGTCTCCGATGTCTATTAGGCGACCAAACATCTTAACTGGAGCTAGTATAACTGAACTTCCTTCGTCAAAGGAACTCGTGTTGACACCATCTCAACAGATTCCTGCACCTCTCTTACCGGTGGTCATTCAAATGGTGCAACTGATTTGATGAACCTCCCCAGTACATCCGAAATTCAATCAACTCAGCCAGCCAAACAAACTCTACCAGAGCAACCAGAGACTCAGCAACAAAAGCCGATTTCATCGCAACCACAGTCAATTCTTTTTCCACAGCAAACATTGACACAACAGCCGTCGCAATTACCACAGACTCAACCAACTGTGACGCCAACTAGTCAAGGAAGATCAAGTGTTCCGCTTTCAGATTTTAGTCAAACTAATCAGTTACCTGATATGAAGAATCTTTTAGTTAGCCCTCAACTCCAGACACTGGAACAGCAACAAATGGTATTGCAGCAACCATCCCAACAACCTGTTCAGCAAGCAATACCTTCTAGTGCTACTGTAATCTCAACAGTACCTCAGACAATTCTCACTATTTCAAGTGTTGGAGATCATGATTGGAACTACAATAATGTTCGTGCACAAGGTTCACAAAGAAGGGATTCAAAAACTTTGCAATGAAACAAAAACTGCTTGAACAACTTCAGAGTTCTTTGCTTTAGTTTGAAAAATGGTTATCTGTTTCATAAACTGTTTCATTAAAAGAATTCATTTTGTTCGTAATAAAGTAAAGGTGTTTTAACTGAAAGCCTGTTTGATTTGTTAAAGTTAATTAGAGGGAAAGAAGTGTTACGGGGAAGAATTTCCATGTAAATGGGCTTACGCAGTCATATATGTCAAGTAGTCTTCATCATTTGTTTGATATTTTTTTTAGAGTCAAAATCAGCCTTGCCTACTAACTAACTTATTCGATTAACAATCTTTATATATAATCTTATGTATTTTACTTCTCTTATAGTGCGATTTCTAGTCGAGACAGAATGCAGTTCGGTGTTAGTGGAGGTTGTGTTAAATTTCCGTTCAGATGTAGACGAAAGGTTCCGTTGCGAATATTTTTATCAGGAAATGTGTACATTATAGCCGGATAATGTTTAAAGCAGAAACCTATCAACATACACAGAAGCATTATACGAAGTAGATAAACTATTATAGTTTAAGGTAACTTATAATGCTATGCATGGAGATGAAATGGGTTCAGCGTAAAGCATCCACTAGGTCAATGAGTTGATTATGTGCAGATTTATCCTGTTATGCATTACACGTGATTCACTAAAGCTAAATGGTTTTACTCCTGTAATTTAGCTGTTTTCCACATTTAATGACACTTACTAAATTACCTACATTTTGCACACAGGTGTGTAGTGTTCATAATATTTAGGACTAAATAAAGATATTCGGTGGTGTTTCGTAAGTATATTTTCCAAGTTAGCCATGAAATGTTTGATTACTTCACTGCGATTATGACAAGAAAAAATGCAATAGTCTGGTTCCACCAAACTGAAGACTCTTGCCATCATAGCTAAAAGCATACAGTCACCAGATTACTATAATCAGGTAAAGGTTTTGCCAAAATTAGTCAGTGCAAATGCACAAATTCATTGGGAAGAAATAAGCAGCTTATTTAAAGCCGCTGTAATTAGGAACAAGTGATAGCATGATTACCAGAACTCATCACCTTTCAGACCAAGTCTCACAATCACGCAGGTGTGCATTTGTTCAACCCTCAAGCAATACATATAGAAAAAATGAAGGTAGTTGTGCTTACCAATGAAGATACGATATATCCAATGGCGGATTTGGGTTTGCTGAAGTTTGAATTCCTAACTCCTAGTAAGGTAGAATATCAGGAAAGTTATCTGAGGCTTTTTGTTATTCATTAGTTCTTAGCATATTCAGGACCCTATCTATTCTATGGTTTAGATCTTGAAACGATGACTTTATCTGCCATAATTTGCATGGTGGCCAACAGTAGAGACCAGGACACACAAAGCAACCCATATCCCAAAAGAGGTTTATCCAGTATAACAAAGAGAAAGTACAAGTACCAATAATTAAGTAACTTTGTTTGCTAGCAACAAATTTTTGTTTTTTCACTTTAATGATAAAAGGCGTTGATCGCTTCACCTCCTCGGGAGTTGCATCGGCTGGAACAGGTTAGCTTCTGATGAAATTGCAGCAGGGATATCTAAGGCCAGTGTAGCATATTTCAACCAAGTTCTCTGGCGTTAAATGGAAGGATATCCGACTAGGACGAGTATACTGCACAGCAGTCTATTATGCGGCTGCAAGACATGGTGATTAAGAGCAGATCAGAAGAGATTACAGGTTTTTGAACAGGCGTGTATTCACAGCATTACTTATGCATTTTTGAATCACTGTGTCAGAAGTGTCGACGTTAGGTAGAAAGTATTAGGGAAGGAAGGCAAGTCAGTCGATGAGGTAATGAAACTTCACCAGCTGTGGTGGTTACGATATGTGTTGTGCATGCCAAGCCACCACCTATCTTGATGTGCATTGTCAACTTAATTAGGATTGCACTGTACTTTTGAATTAGATAAAGGGTTTCTGATTCCAAATCAGTTGCTGAACCCCCATGCGCTCATTTCTACGTAATTCTGCGTGAAATTATCAGTTACCACGTGTAACTCTGTAAAATACCTATTATAAGTCAACTTTTTAATGATTGTAGTGCATCATTTGAAAATTGCTGATGAGATGGAAGTTACCGGCTGAATGTTTACGAGTTATGACTTTTGCCATAACTCAAAAAGACCATCTAGTCGATGAATGACTCACTTTATTATGTACTAAATTCAATCACAAAAAGAATAAAACTCAAAATATTATGACTAGTAGTATAGGGGTAATCAGTAGTGAAAGTGGAAGTTACTGGGATGAAAGTGATTTCTTATGAATACATATTCGAATGAGTTTTTGTCACTCATAACATTACCACTCAGCGGAACTTGCTGATGATTTCCTGCTATGCAGACTTATCTCTTCTTTGTTCGATAGATAAATCTTATTATTAATCATTAAGTTGTTTTGATACTTCATCAACTGCTCACTTACTATCAGTAGCAAAGATGTTTTCATAACTGCAAGGGAAAAAAAGAAGATTGAGATTGGCAAACTAGAGTGAAAGTAAGACCCCAACTTGCAGTCTGTCGTACGGTGACCAGGCCATCTACTGAATGAGATGAGACAACTAACTGCTTACGACTTTCTAATTTAGCTTAAGTCTGACCTCATATTTCCAGTTGTCATGGGAACTAGACATTCACTTCATTCTTGTCAATGATACCTGCTTAAAAACTAAGTTTACTCTTTCCAGTAGGGGTTTAGCCAAACAAGAAAGGTTCGAAAACTTATCAACTGATTATTAACTAGCCGTGTGAGAAAGTCCTGGGTGGTAGATAGAATGTTTATGTACAACAGAATGAAAAAGGAACTATATGCAAAGATCAGTTTGCGCAACATAGAGTTAAATTAACAACTATATTGGTGAGAAATATATTTCCCACTTAACAAGAATGATGTAAGAGACTGAGTTCTTTAACATACCACTTTATGAGAGGAATATCTAAAGTGGAATTTATGAAGTTATCAGACTGAAGAGTATAGTAGAGTTTATCAATATTTTTTCGCTGCAAACTGTACTTTACGGTGATTCTTTGGATTGTACCATTTAACATTGGCATAACAGACACATCAGAAAAATATATTCTATTTTCCACTTATCGATTGATCATGAAAGAGCAATCAACTTCATGTTGTCTAATCCAATGGGCTGACTGAATTCTTTCAGTTATTTAGCAAGATAGTTATCAAACCAGAAGACGTAACATCTTGGCACACTTTGATTAATATTAGATGGTTGGAGGTAATCGATAAAAAACCCTGGACCTAGGTTTTGCTTTCATTGGCACTTATCAGAAAGGCGTCTCTGGTGTCTTCTCTGATTGGTGAAATCTGGTCAGCATTTAGGACTGGACAACGTGAAATTTCTTGCTTTCCACTGACCAGTCAATGAACCTATTCCACTACTAAAAGAGTTTAGACGTGGGTCATGTGTTTCATTCATAACGTTTCTTACTGCTGCACTGGGTGGTGTATTACTTTTTCGATGACTGAGGAATACGCATAGAATGTACATCCAGGATACTAAATTCTGTTAAGTGAAATTACAGTGAAATAGAAAGGGAAGTTGTGACACATTTCCCGTATTCAGGTAGAAGAATGAAATGACTTTTATTCACAGTTTTGTGTTGTTTGCATACCTTCATTTTCTTACTATATATATCGTTTAAAGAGATGATAAATAATGTCATTGGCATATGATTTTAAGAATAAATAGGAAACTTACTAATGCCGCACTCAGACAAGATGCAATGTTGTCCAGAGTAACCGTATGGTCAGAATTCCCAAGATTTCATGTTTCAGATGCTATTCATCATATGTGAATTCCCCTTAATCGTCCAGAATCCCGCAGTCAGGTTGAAAGACTTGGTAAAACATTCGAAACATCATCTACAATAGAGCATGTGAGGGTAAAAACTGAAGAAATACTATAGGGAGTTTCGACTAATGTTTTCGTAACATCATATACTCAGTGCATGGTCCGAATTGTCCTATGGAAGTTATCGTGCGCAGAGAGATAAGAATTATATCTCTACTTGAACGAGCTACAAAGAAATTCAGTCGAATAGGTTCCTTTAAAATAGGAAAAGAGATATTATTTATGGAGTAACAGATCAATGTGTGGTGTTGGCAATAAATACAATTTGCCTACCACATATTCTAAACACTTAGCACGGCAACATCAATCAAAACAAGGTGAAATAAGATTCATTGGCAGGAAAGACTACAGCTGGAGAGAAAATTGCTATTGTATCCAAAAGACTGCATTAAAGTCCATGAAAACGGTGAAACATAAATGTTTACCAATGACTAAATCAGTGATAAGTGAAGAAGAGAAGGGTATCATGAAACTCAAAGAAGGTGAAAACAGAAGTCACATATATTTATTCTACGTAACTGTTTTACTGATTATGAAAGAAATGTCATCAGTTTAATTAATAGTACTTGCATATACTACTGTAAATAGGCTGCTGTGTGTCTGTTTATTGATAATCGTATAAAATTTCTGTTGAAAAATACTGCTGTCCATTAAAATACATCATTCGTTTACTTCGGAAAGAAATCATCTAATTGATTTGTTTCTAAACCACTGTACATTTTCAGTCCACAATCAAAATGTGTACATGGATGAATCAAATTATTAGTTGTATTGTGGATATAACCGCCACTCTTCCATTCTAGGGAACAATATGTAAAGAAAAGTTAATAACAAACGAGTTAATCCAATTGTGAGTAGGATAGACACACATGAGAAATAAGTTGTGCATTTGATACAATTGTAAACAAATTCAAGACAAGATCAGAACTGAAAGTATGGACCTCTTTATTGCAAAGGGAATTGATTTCAGTTTGATATTTTCATCTTCAGTGTTATACGTTCAACCTTTAAAAATCATAATATTTGTAGGGTAACCGATATAAGTACTTAATTTTGCTGCATACTAATCTATCGAAAAATGGATGACACGTATGCAGAAAAT